TTGCCCAGAGAGGCAGGGGGAACCACGTCAGCCTCACTGGACATGAGTCTTTGTGCTCTGGAGAATTCTTTCTCCAATGCCAGATGTCTCCTCGTGGCCTCTCGCTCAGCAGCCTTGGAGGGTTCTGTAGACAGATGTTTGGTTTTGGCTTTTTTCTTTCCCCCCGCGCCTACATCAGAAGATCTGCGCTTGGATTGTGGGGGGGGGCACTCGAACCCTGCAAAGTCTGAGGAGAAACACTATCTGCCATTGTGAGCCGAGCCTTCCAAATAGGAGAAGCCCTGCAGTGGGGGTAAACGCGCAGATCAAGTTGTCCGGGAGGGAGACTTCCCGCGCCCTAAGACAACCACAATGGCAAATAGCCAGACAGCTTAGTAAAACTGCCTGTTCAGGCCCTGCAGGCACAGCGCCGCGAGCTAATGGGAACAGGTGGAATAAATTCCCCCAATGAGCGTGTTAGGGATAAGGAGACAAGAAGGAAAATCTTCTTTCTAACAGCAATCCTAGAACTGTCCAGAAAATTGTAGAATACCCCCTAGAAAGCCCAACACAGCAGGCTGTTTGAGTTTGCAGGCCTAATCTCCCTCGGTGTGGAGTCCCCAACAAAATGGCGGCCACACCCAGTTCAAAACAAAATGGCGGCCACAAGCCTCGTGGTAGTCAAAATGGCGACTCAAGAGTCAAAGGGAATGATTTATGAGGCCCTGCAAGGTGGCCAAAGGCTTCCACGGCCTCTGCCACCCAGTCTTCACTCCCCTTGCGAATAAGGCAAACAAAAACAACTTGCGATTAAAGCTTTTGACAGGCCTCCGCTCTCCACCGGAGCCTCGTGGCCACGAGGAGAAGATCTCACTCGCCCAACCTTCCGGCACGACGAAACTCCTCGTCCCTGGGGAAATCCCCTCTTCTTGCCCAATCGCCTGGGACAAGAGCCGGCTAGCAAACAGTGAGGGGAATCCCCTCACCGCGCCAAGCTCCGAGCCGAGCAAAAGAGCCTCCAAGCGCTCAGGGAAATCCCCTCACAGCACCGAAAAGCCGTTTGAAGACAAAAATCGCTTGCCTCACAGCGTGAGGCAGCCGATGCTAGCAACAAGAGAGGAACGGAGGCAAACGGCAATTCTGAGGCTCTCAGGGAAGCGCGTCCCTGCAGAGAGTCCCCTGAGGGCTGAAGTACAGCCAACCAAAAAAAACAAAAAAAAAACAACCCCTTTTTATAATCTTTCTACAAGATAATTAATATTAAAAGGGGAAAAAAATTAATAAATCAATGAAATTTCTAATTCTCTATCACCTGAAGCTAACTACAATTAAATTATTGAGGAGCTATGCTAAGTTGTGTCCTTACTGAGCCGAGACTAAGAACAAACTGGGGAAGGACAGCCCAAGGAGGCGTGGCCAAAGTTTGATCTTAGTCTAAACTGAGCAAGGAGGCATTGATAACCCATCGGTGGAGGTTACATCTCACATGCTGTAGAATTTCATTTTCAGGCCGTCCAGCTGCGGAGCTTGTCACTGGAGAGGATATGATGGGACTTTCCATGGACTCACGCCTTGATTCCTTAAATCAGGAGGACCTGGCATGGTTGAGACCACTCAGGACTGGTATTTCTAGGTGACAGTTCTTTTCACCTGAACCCACTCTCCAGGAACAACAATGGCCAGAGACAGGTGGTAGGGCAGCCTGGGCCTGTACTGAGATAGAAGACAAAACCTGCGCCAGATTATGTAAATACTGAGTAACTTTCTTCTCTTCTTCATTGACATTCTTGAACCTTCATGTAACAAAAACCTCCCATACATCATTTCAAAGGGACAAAGATACTCCTGAGTCGAGGTTTCAGCAAGCAAACAACTTTTATTTTGATCAAAATAGAGTTGGGTGACCCCATCTCTCTTCGTGGCTGGTAGAGAGATGAAGGCAACAACCAGAAAAGATGTCTTCCACCTTTTATACCTTTCCAGAACAAAAAGATCAGGTCTTGGTACTAGGCATAAGATGGCACAAAAAAATAATCCCTAGATGATGACTCATACACAGCAACCCAGGCTCCATCCGTAGCTCCTTTCCCCCCTCCCCTTACTGTGCTCTTTTCATATAAGCAATCACCTATACCTAAAACATGAAGCCCTTACTTTTCCAATATATATAAAGCATCTGATCAAGCAATTAACTACAAAATAATGATTACAAAATAACAAAACAATGATTACATGATAACACTATAAGTATCAATATAAAATGGTTACTATATATAAAATAAATGCTAATGTCAAACTTAAACATACTAAAATCATAAGCACAATAAAATCCCTTCAGAATGTTTGCACATTAGTATTTCCAGGAGGGAGTTTTAGAGTGAAATAGAATCAGAATGTCAATGACATTTTATTCATTCTCTTATCTACAATAAGTAAGGTACTGGAAGTGTTCATCTGGTACTTAGTTGAAAAGGAAAGGAAAGAAAAAAGAAAAAGAGATATTCAAAACAGACATTGCAGTTTCTTATTAGAGGTTTTGCTGAAAAATAGGGTGCAATTTGTTTTGAAAAGCATGGCATTTTCCATCTTTTTCATTAGTGACCGAAGAATCTGTTTTGGTACAAAGCAACAACTGCTTCATCAGCAAAGGGTCTTGCTGGATGCAAATTAGAACAGTTTAATTTGATGGCAAAAAGATAAACATTAACATCTGTCTGCAACTCCTAAATTCAAATGCATCTTTTCTAGGAATCAAGTGCGACCTGATGCATGATCCTGGGAAAAGTCCACCTGTTTTAAGGATTGCAATCAAATGTTGTGTTTGTACCTCCATGTACTTCAAAGTACTTTTTTGCTTTCAAATCCAAAGCATAGGACACTTTCATGCCTGACATTTGGGGCAGAAGTTTTTAATATCAGGTACTTTAGCCTGTCAGATCTTTGAATTCTAATTCTATATTACTATTATGAATTTATAAATATTTTAACCGTCTAATAGCCATTGTAATTCTATTGATAGATAATTTGTGCTGTTTTACTCTGTAAAGATGATTCAGCTACATTGTCTGGGTTCATACAGCCCTTTAAGCCATAAACAAGGCAAATCTTATGATGGCTTAAGTAATTATCACTGTTTGTACCTTCAATGTTTTTTCCTTTCTAACCACTATACTGTATCTAGTCATGGGTATAATATAAAGTATTACTGTCTCAGGCAGTATGCTATTTCCAAAAATGTATGCCATAATATATTTGGTAATCTATAGGTGCAGAAGCTCTTTTGTTGCTATGATCAAATATGATAATATCTCTGAAAATGACTTACTGTAAGGAATGTTTGCAGATATGAGTATACTCAGAAGAACCACTTGGTGGCACCAAAGGCCTAAAGGTGAATCAGTTAATTAGAATACCAGAGCATAATTGCACTTTATATGACTTGCTATATTAATTTTTTATGGTGCAGAAGTTCTAAATGTCATTTCCAGGTCTAATAACATATTACAGTCATATGGGTTGTATTATATATTCAGTCTATATGAACATAGAATTCACCAGCAAATTCTCTTGCTTTTATTAAAACTATATGCATAAATCATAGAATCAAGACAGTTGGAAATGATCTCAGAGATCATCTAGTTCAACTCTCTACTTGATGCACTATCTACTATAGCAGGGGCCCCCAACCCCCAGTCCGTGGACTGGTACCGGTCTGCATTATGCCAGCAACCGGTCTGCACAAACAAGCAAAGCCCTATCTGTGGGATGCAGGCAGCACACAAAACCACGCACTCTCCAGTCCATGCAAAAACATTTCTCCACAGAACCAATCCCTGGTGTCCAAAAGATTAGGGACCTCTGTATTATAGCATTTCAGGAAGATAACTATCCAATCCCCCAGTGAAAAAATACCTACCTCTTCATAAGGCAAGCTATTCTACTGGTTTATAACTGTTTATAATGAGAAAATTCCTTCTTTCTATTTAGAGCTAATATTTACAGATGTGATTAGTGTCTCTGCTCTAGTTATTATGGAGCAAATGCATTCCAGTATTCTTATCTTAGAAATGTATCTGGAACATATATTTATTCATTCCATTCTATATTGTTGAATCTACCAGAAACTCACACTGGGGTACAACTAGCTACTATGCATTTATAATCCAATCACTTAAAACATTGCAAGAAATAAATTAATTATAATTAATAACATTTTAGCAACTGCATTAAGTCAGTGCTTTCCAAAATTATGTAAAAGAGTTTTTCTTTGGATAATGGCAACAAACCCATTACCTAATCACAACAGGGGCATTTAAATTGGTTTAAAGGATTTTACCTATATAGAGTAGAAAGGACTTTCTGAGAAGTAGTTTGGAAAAGAAATGTTTGGGAAGCATTGCATTAAACAAAAAACAAACAATATAGCAAATATAACAATAAGGGGTATAGAACATCAGTCAATGTTCTCTAGAAAAACTCTGTCATTGTCGTCTCCTAGATAGACAGTAGAGAAATAGCCATCTTATTTGTAAGGAAATAGAAGACAGAGTTATTTTTAATTGATGCTACTTTTGGAAGTACTCAGAAGTAATATTGAATGTCAGCCTTTGTTCTAATGCTTCACTGTTTTTGATCTTACCGTTCCTTCAGGGACCGTGTCAAGAAGAACTGTACAAGGCACTGGATAAGTTGGCAAAAGCTCAACAAACCACTGGAGGACAGTTATACAGATTTTATTTACCCAACTGTAATAAAAATGGATTTTATCATAGTAAGCAGGTAATTTGGAGGGTAGGGACTGGGAATATTTCCAAGCTAATGAAGGATGATGTGGTTGATTATTTTATTCATTGAATGAAACCTGCTCAGAAACCCTTACTTTGAAAATGATAGAAATCAAACCTCTCCATCCCACACATGCTAATTCAGAAATGAAAACCTTTTTCTTTTTAATAGAACAAAAGCAGACTATTCAGAGTTAGATACCATTCTAAGGACATTACATTTTTTGAAGCAAAATGTCCATGGGTCACATGATACACCAAAAGCAGATTTCAAAAGCAGAAATCTTTGATTTGCAACAAATCTCATAGATGATATAATATATAGTACTGTAGTACTATATTATTATATTATAGTACTATAGTATTATAATACAATAATGATAACAGATGCAAATAGACTTTGGATAGAGTAGACTGTCTACTTATTTTGGTAAGAAAAAAAAAGATGGAAGAAGTAGAACAAATTTTCTGCTCTGAGGGAACAATTTCAGTTGTATATTTTAAGACAAAAGATCTAAATGAAGTAGAGAAGCTCCCATAAGGAGCACCGGTTCTCCACTGAGAAGGAGGAATGAAGTTCACAGAATTGTAAATGATTCTGTGCATTTTTAAAGCAATTTATTTATAGTATGATAATGCTAAATTAATACAAAGATCTGGCACGATGTTATACATATTACATGAACAATTAAAAATCATGATTATTCAGCTAAAAAAAAATCTTTAAATAGATTTGCTTGAAAATTTCCTTTATTCCCCCCACATACATGCACATACGCATACACAAAACTTAAAAATCCAGCATTTATTTCTGAATAACTGTGTATATGATTCAACCTTATGGCCTAGTGGAATATCTAGTGTAAAGTCAACATGCACTCTTCATTTACATGAAGTACCTTTCTTATTTTCAATCTTTTGGGAAGTTTTCTGTATCAATTCAGCCAAGAAATAACAACAGAGCAAAGAATTGCTTTTTTTAGAGACTAGACAAAGTACACTGATTTTCAATGTCAGTTTGGAAATAATTGGATTAAGTACAATACAGATGAAAAAGATTGAACTGCATATAATGTAAAAATGACAGTAAATTTTACCTGACTAGGAACTGGATAAAAATTGTTCTCCAATAATTAAACTGAAAAAATCCATATTTACCTCTTTTAATATGCTTTTAAAAATTCCCTTAGTGTGAAACTTCACTTGATGGAAATCCTGCAAATTGCTGGTGTGTGTATCCAAAGAATGGAAAGAGGATTCCTGAATCTCCCGAAATGATGGGCAATCCTGGATGTGAACAATTTATTAGCCCACAAAACTAATGAACAAAAATTGCACAAATATGTGTTGTATTTTTGCAAACTGAATGTTACTTACATTTCTAGGGTCAGAGACACCTTGGTTAACAGAATTTTAAGCATGTGGTTAGACAACAATCTGCTGTTAAGTATGCTTTTTGGGAAGTCCCAGTGATCCCAATTGGGCTGATTCTGTTCAAATATACTGTCAGATTTCCTGCTTTGCAGTTCAGATTCAAAATATTTAATTCAAGGAACAAGAATCTAGCAGTTCTGATTAATAATATTTATTAGAAGGAAGGTTAAGTTTATAACACAAGAATTTTAGCAAGTACGCAACTTTCAAATAAGAAACCAACATTTAATATCAATCAGTGTTACGTGAAGGGCTGAAAGCATGTTTCTTTTTTATGAAAGTAGGGCATTCAGCATCTTGCACAGTTTTGGTAATTGCTAGTCTTTTTGTGAGTGGATAGAATAGTTGTGTTAAGAGATTATAACACTGTGGTCAGCATTACTGGTGGAATGGGGATTCTTGTATCTTATTGTATTGAAAGTTAAGCAATAGTAAGATAATAAAGGGGGGATTATGGATTACACAATATGAAGTTCAAAAGATTATTGAATTATTTATTCAACATGTATTTTTATTTTGTGTATTAATTTATGTATCTGTATTTTTCAACACTTCAAACCTTGTATGAAAACATTTTAATATTTTCTCTAAGAATATGCAGTGTTCTGTTTTCAAAGAATACAATATATTATTAACCTCATTTGCAAATATAGTGTATGAGGATGACAGAGTTCAAGCATTTATTTTTAAAAGTGTGTATATGTGTATTATGTTGTTGCTTTACTTCATATTGCTTTTCATTTCATCATCAAGGAGTTCTCACTCTGAATAATGTTATTAAGGAAATGTTCTTCAGAAATATAAAAGGCACCTAAAAAGGAAAGTTGTTTCTGTTTAATAAACACAGTTCCTTTACAAACAAGTATAAACAAACTAAAATTAAGAAACTGTAATGTACATTTGATGGATGTAAACATTTATAAGTCAGCTTTATGATGTTATTTAAACATTTATTAAACAATTTTATTTGAACCCTATCCCTTTTTTGTTCAGGTTTGGTTGACCCTAATTCAAAGTTTGTCCTTCAGAACTGTTTTGTTATAAATTATTATTTTCAAAGAAGTATCTAGAAAAGTTTGGTCACATACACATTTTAATATGTATGGAATTAGTGTCTCTGGCAACACACAGATGCAGTGCAGGTAATACCTAATATGTTTCCCTGAAAATAAGACTGGGTCTTTTTTTCTTTTTTTTTTGCCTCCAAAAGAGGTACCAGGTCTTATTTTCAGGGGTGTGTGTGTATTTTATACTCACCTCCAGCACCAACAGCCAAACCCAGCTGGTCCACTTCTGTGGCTGAAGGAGCAGCTTCATTCTGCAGGTTGGAATGGAGCTCTGGCCTGCATTTTGCAGTCAGGCCTTTCCAGAAGGCCACTGCAGCCGAGAACCGAGCTATGGATTGAATCCATAGCTCGGTACTTGGCTGCAGTGGCCTTCTGGAAAGGCCTGTTACTGAGAAATGCAGGCCTGTGGACACTGGAGAAGAAGTGGGCCAGCAAGGAGATTTCTTTATATCTCTGCTAGAAAATGCTTAAATCATACATTTTGAGAATAAGACAGAAGGAAATATGCAAATGTATGCTCTTTTATCCCAACTCTAATTTAGTATGATATAAATGAAAATGCTCAAGTCTGTTTTACTTGACTATGCACTATATGGTTGTTGCTTCCAAAGCTTATGCAAATTGAATGGATTCAGCACCACTGATGACATTCTCCTGATTCCCAGTGCAGGAATAAAATGTTCTTCATTTACCTCCCATTTACCTCAATGTCTGGTTGAACACAAGTAGAAATGGGGTGGCCAACAAGATGTATCCTTAGTCTGATATAGTGAGACTAGCCTGATGACAAAAGGAGACTTTGATCTACCAGCAGAAGGGTGCAAATAACATAAACACCTGGAGGGTTAAGAACATAGAATAATAGGGTTGGAATGGACCTTCTTGTCCAACCTCTTGGCTGCAAGGTAAGCAGATGCGGGGGGCATGGGACAGATCCATCACCACCCATGCCCGCCCTAGCTTGATTTTTAGATGTGTGCCATTGCAGACAAATGCTGGTCTGATATCTTCTTGAAAATTCCAGTGATGGAGTATTAGCAGTCTAGGACTGCATTGGCTTTTTTGGCAGCTGTAGCACACTGCTGTATTTAAACAACATTAAGATTTGTTCCAATAAAGATAACAACTTTCCTTTCAAAGACTTTCCTTTTAATTATTTTTTGTATTTTAATTATTTTAATGTATTTTTTAAGTTTGCAAGTTCTCATCATACTCCAGTACCTTACTCAGACTGACTAAGGACAAAGAACAACTTTCTACCATCTGAGTTCTGTTGTTCTGTTACCATCCAAATATTTTCTTTTACTGTATAGTGTCCTCTTTATTGCAATAACCCTCATGGAAAAGAATGTTACTCCAAATACTTAGGTTGATGCATACATCTTTGATCAGACTTTCTCTGCTGCTCTCAAAGCTGAACTGGAGTTCGGACGTCCTGGAAAATTTGCACAATTTGCAATAGTGGCAAATATCTATAGCTCGGGTATAGGATGAGGATGAAGGTTCATTCTCCAAGCTTGTCGGTTGGTTTCTGAATGTTTCATTACCAGGTTAGGTAACATCTTCAGCGGACATTCCCTAAACATTGCTGAAGATGTTACCTAGCCTGGTAACAAAACATTCAGAAACCAACCCACAACCTCGGAGAATGAAGCTTTATCCTCATTTACACATTTTTTTCTAGCAGTAAGTGATGGAATCAGACAAGATCAGTAACTGTTTAGCACAGGAAGGTTACATTTTCTATCTCTTTTCAGAGAATTCTTTCAAAGGCTCATGGGGATGCTTGTTCGAGGCAACTGTCATTATAAATTATTAAGTCCAGTTCTTTTTTTTATAAGCAGCCCAGATAACTTTCAAATGTACAAATGCTCCATTTTCAAAATAACTTTCCACATAAATTCCTTTTCAATAAAAAAGCTTCTGCTATATCATTCAGCAGTTTCATTCTTTAAATATAATTTGAAGGGACCTTGGAGATCTTCTAGTCCAGCCCCCTGCTCAAGCAGGAGTCCCTCTATCATTTCAGACAAGTGGCTGTCCAGTCTCTTCTTAAAAACCTCGAGTGATGAAGCACTCAGAAGATCTGAAGGAAACCTGTTCCACTGGTTAATTGTCCTCACTGTTAGGAAGTTTCTCCTTAATTCCAGGTTGCTTCTTTCCTTGATTAGTTTCCATCTCTTGTTTCTTGTCTTGCTTTCTGGTGCTTTGGAAAATAAATTGACCCCCTCCTCTTTGTGGCAGCCTTTCAAATACTGGAATACTGCTATAAATGGTTAATACAAAAATCTCTGTGGAGTGATCTATTTTTTTAGTGCAAGCAGAGATACCAAACATGATTTCCCAAAAGATTTATAAAACCATTAATTAATAAAAGATTACGTTGTGCTGTCTATATGGAATTTACTCATAAGTTCAGACTGTACTAAAACTAATTAATTCTGTGTTTTTGGTATTCATTGAACCCTCCTCCTTCTTGTGCACAAATAGCTAATATTTATGCATTCTAGCTATGGTTGCCAGAGAAATAGAAGATAGGTTCCAGAGACTATTGCACGGTATGTGGATGAAAAAAGTACTTTTCTCAAGGAACCTGAGATATAATAGATCCATCCATTGACAGTATTAGCTTTTTTAAAGTGGTAATTTATATAGCTATGTATTAATTGCTCTCAATATAAATTCCAAGATCAGGCTTATGTTACTTGAATTCCTATTTTATATGAATTACATAGCAGACTTATACAACTCATATTCACCCCAAAAAATTCCCTTTCCTCCTTCTCCTATATATGAACAGCAAATCAAGAAACTTTGTTGCTTGCTTGGAATATTAAAACAGTGTTTTTTACCTCATCATTAGTTGCTATATCTTAATTTTCATCACTTAATTCCTGTTTCACTCTGCTTCATGTTAAATGAAATGGAACTTTGAGAATGCTCATGCATTTATTTCTAATATGGAACATTAAGCATATTTGTGGTATTTGCTATTCATATATTTTCCAAATTTATCTAAACATGATTATCAGCAGAACAGAATAGGACTAGGACTAGAACTAGGACTAGGACTAGAATAGAATAGAATAGAATAGAATAGAATAGAATAGAATAGAATAGAATATATTTTTAAGGGAAAAATTTGAAGAATTAGAACTGCAAATAAATCCTCAAAAAAAAACACTGAAAAGAAAAAGGGAAACAATAAAACATAAATTAAATCTGTTGGAATCAAAAAAATTGGCACAGCAAATTAAAAGAGCAAAACAAAACTTTTTTGAAAATGCAAACAAACCAGGAAGATGGTTAGCTTATAAACTCAAAAAACAGAAGGAAAAGAAATTGATAAATAACTTAGTAGATGAAAAAGGTTGCTTACAATTTAAAAATAAAGAAATAAAAAAGATAATTAAAGAATACTAGAAGAAACTATGATATAGAAGAAATTCCACGGGGAAAAAATGATTCAATATCTGAAAGAAAATAATTAACCAAAAATTTCAGAAAACTTTAAAACGATATTAGAGGAAAAAATAAAAATGACGGAAATAACAGAGGCTATAAGAAGACAAAAAAATGAGAAAACGCTGGGGCCAGATGGATTACTGGTGGATCTATATAAATCTCTACAAGATACATTAAGTGTACCATTGAATGATATATGTAATGAACTTTGGTTGGAGGCTAAACTCCCAAATACATGGACAGAAGCAAATATTACTCTAATACCAAAAGAAGATTCAGACTTGACACAGATAAAAAAATTACCGACCAGTATCATTATTAAATGTGGATTATAAATTTTTTACTTCAATTATAGCAGAGACTGAAAAGATTTTTAACTGAATTTATACATTCAGACCAAAATGGACTTTTACCAAAGAGACAAATTAAAACTAATCTAAGAGTGATAATGGATATATTGGAATATTATGAACTGTATCCAGGGAAACAATTGGCACTAATATTTTTAGATGCTCAAAAGGCATTTCATAATGTTTCCTGGTAATTTATGATCCAGCAATTAAAAATAATGGACTTTGGACAAAACTTTATAAATATGATTAAAACAATATATAACAAACAAACAGTGAAAGTGATTGTAAATGGAGACTATACAGAGAACTTTGAGATAAGAAAAGGTACAAGGCAAGGATGCCCATTATCTCCATTCTTATTTATTTTAATTTTGGAAGTTCTAAATAGAAATATTAGACAAGATACAGAAATTAAAGGACTAGAAATAAAAGGTGAAACATACAAATTGCAAGCATTTGCAGATGATTTGGTATTTATTCTAGAAGAACTTTTGGAGACGATTCCTAAACTACTGGAAAAGATAGAACAGTATAGAGAAATAGCAGGACTGAAAATAAACAGAGAAAAAACTAAAGTAATAGTTAAAAATCTTTCAGATAAGCAAAAAAAAAATGTCAAAAAAAATAGAATTACAAATAGTCAAAAATATCTGGGAAAATACTTAACAGCAAGATGTTCAACAATAAAAGAAGATAATTATACAAAATTATTGAACCAAATAAGATTGGACTTGGAAAAATGGAAAAACTTGCAACTGTCGATATTAGGAAGAATTGCTACAATGAAAATGAATATACTACCAAAAATTTTATTTCTCTTCCAGACAATACCTATAAAACTTGAGAAAAATTCCTTGAAGATTTAAATTAATTAATTTTAAAATTTATTTGACAAGGAAAGAAAGCTAGAATCAAGATGAAAATGTTACAAGAAACTGAGGAAAATGGAGGTTTTGGTTTGCCAGAGTGGGTCTTATATTATCAAGCATCCATATTAACATGGTTAAAAGAATGGATAATTCTTAGAAAGAAAAGATTGTTATATTTGGAGGGACATGATTTACAACTGGGGTGGCATGCTTTTTTATGGTATGGGAAAAATAAAATCCATAAGTACTTTCAAAACCACTATATAAGAAATGCATTATTATCAACAAGGGAAAAAATAAAATGTAAAATATATCTGAAAATTCCAGGTTGGCTTTCAACAATGGAAGCATTTGTACATCCAAATTTAGTTATTTTTGAAAAAATCCGGATATATGGGATATTCTAAATTCTGAAGGGAACTTAAAATCTAAACAAGAAATGGAAAATCGGGGTATCAATCTATCATGGTGGGCATACTTACAAATGCAAGCTAGATATGATAGATGTTAAACTGTATGGATTTTATAAGGAGCAAACCTTGTTTGATAAGATATTATTAACCTCTGATGAGAAACTAATTAAGAAAATTTATAATTTTCTATTAAATTTGAAAATGGAAAGTGAACAAGTTAAAGAAACAATGATAAGATGGGCAAAAATTTTTTGGATATAATGTAGAATTAGAAAAATGGCAAAACTTGTGGGAAAGAAACTATAAATTGACAATATCAACTTTCTACAAAGAAAACTTATATAAAATGTTTTATAGATGGCACTTGCCACCAGAAAGATTAGCAAAAATGTTTAAACATGTCAGATAGATGTTGGAAATGCAAACATAAGTCAGGTACTTATTACCATGTTTGGTGGACATGTGCCAAAGCAAAGAGTTATTGGAAAAAAATACATACGTGGCTAGAAAAGATGTTGGAAAATATGTAGATTTTAAACCTGAACTTTTTTTATTAGGTATATTGCCAGAAAACACTGATAAACAAAGCATATGTTTGATTTTACATGTAACAACAGTGGCAAGAATTATGTTCGCGTAGTATTGGAAAAATGAAGAAATACCATCAGATGAAGAAATAATTTAAAAAATACTAGAATGTGCGGAGATGGATAGACTGACTTTGAGGTTGAAACAAAAAGAAGAAACGGAATATTATCAAACTTGGGACTTATTTTAACAATGGCTAGAGGAAAGAACAAAGGATTGGGAATTAAATTTGTATTAGTGAATGTAAACTCAGACAGCACATTTGTTGAACAAGTACTATTGAATGTATGAAAAAATCAATAAAAATCTTATAAAAATAGAATAGAATAGAATAGAATAGAATAGAATAGAATAGAAGCTGGAAGGGACCTTGGAGGTGATAGAAGTAAAGTCTTCATCGTGGTTCATCCAAACCGGGGACAAATAAGCAACATGGCGACTGCTTTAGGAAGAAGGTTACAGTTTATTGAAGAAGCAGAAAGATGGCCCTTGCAAGAAGGAGTAGAGGAGAAGAAAGAGAGAGTGAGCACATGGGTAGAAAGTTTTTATACCCCCCTAGCCCTGTTTGGAATAGTTTTCTGTTCCTGTGGCATGAACCTTGAGGATATTTCTGAGTGCTTTTCTAGGCCTTGATATCTGTGGTTTAATCCTATTATCATATCCTGCTTCCCAGGTGATGGGGTTAATGACTCCTAGAGTTTGGGTGGGGCATGCAGATTTTCTCTTTGTCTTGATTGCTCTGGCGTCAACTTTCTGATGGTTTTACATCTGCATTTGTATAGGGCTAGCTACTGCTTGGGGCAAAGAAATTTGGGGCCAGGTTTCTGCTTTTCAAAAAATGCTTTTAAAAATCCTTTTGGTAAAAAATATATTTTTCTGCCTTTTTAATATTTCTTTCTCTGGGCTAACTTCCCTCAGAGGTCTTCTAGTCCAGCCCTCTGCTCAAGCAGGAGAACCTATACCATCTCAGACAAGTAACTGTCTAGCCTCTTTTTAAAAATCTCCAGTGATGGAGCGCCCACGATTTCTGGGAGCAAGCTATTACACTGGTTAATTGTCCTCACTGTCAGGAAGTTTCTCCTTAATACCAGGTTGCTTCTATCTTTGATCAGTTTCCAACTGTTGTTTCTTGTCCTGTCTTGGATATAATGTTTCTTGTCTTGTCTTGGATATAATTTTGAATATTTTGCATTTTCATTGGAAATTTCAGAATTACATTCTAAAGCATTAAGTCTTTCCTCACTAAAAGCACCAATCAAGTCCAAAAACCAGCAGCAAATCTTCTATATAATACTCAGTTTTCTGCATGCCAAAAATAACTGATTCCAATAATTGATTTTACTGAATTGTGTCCCACGCTAATTATGGCTAGCATCCAGGAGAATTTATATTTTTGAATAGAATGCAAAATAATTCTGCTAAACTGATAGAGCTTATATTGTTAAAGAGTTTGGAATAAGTTCCAAAATATTTCAATTTAATTTAATTTAATTGGATATTTGCATTTAATTGGATAGTCTAATTTAATTTAATCTGTTATTCAAAGTAAACTGAAAATTAATCAGTTCAATTCCTGATAAATTATTTTTATTGCTAACTGGATTAACTGCCATCTCATATAGTAATCTCGTCATTAATATACATCAAAATCAGAAATATTGCCACAAGATTTTAGTTTCTATAATGAATTTTAAGAGACACTTTTGACCTTGTTTGCTTAGTATTTTCTTTTAAAAACTAATTAAAAACTAATGAATACACATAATCCTTTCCCATGTAAATTTTCTTATAGCCCAGTGTCTTACATGAAATCTTTATTTTCATCAGCTTACGATGTGATGTCAAGAATTTTGGAAGCCATTTAATATTCATACTGGAAACATGTAAACATTTAAACAGACTGTTTAGATATCTGCTTAAAAACAACAGAATTTTGTGGCACCTTAAAAATTGACAAATTTATTATAGCATAAGCTTTTGTAGATCAGATTTCACTTTGAAAGGCATTTTTCATGTCCTGTAATTCTATGACTCTATTTAAGGGTCTCATAAGGTACTTGGTATGTATTTGTTATAATCAAATTCTTCTCTCGTCATCTACTATTTCTAATTTTGCATGAATCAATTGCCTAAATCAATTGATTTAATTAATATTTGGAAACTGATTCAGACTAGCCTGAAGAAATGTAATTTTGAGATAGCAGTGTTCCAATATTTGAGGAGCTGCCACAAAGAAGAGGGTGTCAACTTACTTTCCAAAGCACCAGAAGGCAAGACAAGAAACAATGGTTGGAAACTAATCAAGGAGAGAAGCAACCTAGAACTAATGAGAAATTTCCTAACAGTGAGAACCAGTGGAACGACTTGCTTTCAGAAATTGTGGGTGATCCATCGCTGGAGGCTTTTAAGAAACTGTACAGCCACTGGTCTGGAATGGTATAGGGTCTCCTGCTGGAACAGGGGATTTGGACTAGAATATCTCCAAGGTCTCTTCCAACTCTGTTAGTCTTTTATTCTGTTATTCAGTTTTGGACAAAGATTCAAGAGTAATGCTAATTAAAATTAAATGAGCATTGCACTTTATCTACTGAAAAGTACTGCTTCTTTCTATATCTAGAATTTTGTAAATATTGATTGATCCACAAACAGTGGATGATCCAGTTTTACATTGCTTGTTTAACATGCATTGATAAGTCTCCTGGGAAAGATAATTTGGAAGCATAAACTATAATGATTGGGTAACATTTGATGTTGATATTACATTTAAATAGTTTATTAAAAAATTATATTAAATACAGACTAACAGAATGGTCATAATACAGTATATTTATATAGGAAAAATAACCAAGTAGAAAACATGTATCTTTTAAAAGTTCTTTGAACTTTTTCTTTTAATAAAACATATTTTACCAGTGAAATAAAGTTCTCTTAAGACCTGTATAAAAACAAAACATCTTAGTTTAAAACCTTGAGTATGATTCAGCCCAAGCACTATTAATAGCATAATCTACACATTTATCAACTATACATTCTCATTGAATTTAATGGGGCTCATTCTTTAAGGTTAAAGATTGCAACTTAAGTTTCTTTTCTTTCAATGGAAGATGTTTAAACATATGGATAACTGATGTAACTTAAAAGTGCTTAGCTTGGGTTGTGTCATACCTATATATTCACAATACTTACAGTCTGCAAATTCTTCAAAATAAAAACATAGTTATTTTTCAGGATCAAATTGATCACAGGCCATTATTTAAAAAACAGAAACCAAAGTGAGTGGATGCTCCCTGAATCCATTCTGAAGTACCTTTTTTCTCTTTTCTTATTCATTTTGGGGGTCAATAGTGCAGATTTATATAGGATATCAGAGCTCCCTATGTAAATCTATTGAAAGCAGAAAGTGAATCAGTGGCAGGATGCAGCTGCAGAATCTGGAGTCATTGACTCTCCCCAATATATATAGGGACTAAAACTCAGAATTCCAAAGTCCAATGCATTCCACGCTGTAGCCCAGTCACTCCAAGATCTCTGACTGGTAAAAATGCCATATACAGTATCCATGGAAAATGGTGGCCTCCTCTCATTTGTTTTCTAAATTGTAACAATGGACTTCTCCTTTCCCTTTCCCATTATATCCAGGGAGTGGCTGTCCACATTTATCCACACACCAGCAATATCCTCTCTTCCGGCCCCTGGATGGACGACACTAAAAAACAGAGAGGAAAAGAGTTAGATTTTTATATATATATAAATTGATTCCTGGGAGTGTTCATTGTAAAAGCATACGAACGTAAATGAGCACCAGGAAAAACAAAACCTTTAAAAAGTTTAAAAAGTTTTAATAAATAGTGATCCAAGCTTTCGCCGGCTTTCTGCCGGCATCTTCAGGGATCCATGTCGGTCAATGGGAGGGCGCTTCTTATATTCCGGCCACCTTTGCACCCGGCCCATAGGTGCTGTCGTGATGCTCCAATGGCCAATCGCCGTTCTAACTCCGTTTTCACTCAGTTCAGCTGATCTACCCGAGCCGTGCCTATTTCTACACCATCGCTTCCCCCCACACCCACTCTCCTCCTTCCTGCCTGTTTCTTATCCTGTAGACATGCCTCTCCCTTTCTTCGGTCTTCCCCCCCCCACACCCTCTCTCTCTCCACTGGGGTTTGGCACATCCGTAGAGCAGCCGCGTGGGAACGGGTGATCGCCCCTACAAGGGGATGATGCTGTACTCCTGCTTCTCTTTCCATAACCTCCTCCCCCTTCCTACTGTCCACCCCACCCCCCATCCTGTCTGGTGGCCGCCGTGCCCTACCTGCCTGATCTTTCTTCCCCCCTCCTGCCAAGACGTCTTTCCCACCATCTCTATCTCTCCCCTCCCCTCAGTCCACATTCCTCCATCCCTCCGTTGGGTGGTCGGCCCTAGCTCACTCTCCTCTCCCCTATCTCTCCCCCCCAACACTTTTGGCAACTCCCCGGCAGTGGTCTGAACTAGTGAGCGCTAGCAACGGGATGGTTGCGGAGGGTGCCTGGGAGGGGTGTGAGGATGAGGAAACAAGAAGGGGGCGTATGCCATGCAGAACCAAGGTGGGCAGGAGAGAAAAGGGAGAACCTCCGCTATGGTACGAGGGCAACAACAAGCAGGAACGGAGTGGAGACGCGGCATGTAAGAGCAAAAGGGATGATCCCCCCCTCCCCTCTCCGGACCTGGGATGCAATCACGTACGGAATATGGGAGGTGCTACACGAAAGAATGCCGGCAGTGGCTGGCCCCTGAACATGCATAACCTTACAATAACAAAGGGAGCGGCACGGGAGGAAACACAGGCTCGGAGAAGGAGGGGGGTGAATGATGACGTGAGCAGTATGCTGGAAGCACGGCAGGATCAGCTGGGGCCTGTTACTCGCTCCAGGAGCCGTAAACTGACATTCGGCAATGATATATAAGACTTCAACCGGCTGTTGCCTTTTAGCCCTGACGATGTCAAACATTTTGTTGACAAAAGCTAGGTAGATTAAACATTTTATATGTATTCTCTTGGCGGTCTGTATTTATTTTGATTATATATATATATATATATATATATATATATATATATATATATATATATATGTGTGTGTGTGTGTGTGTGTGTGTGTGTGTGTGTGTGTGTGTGTGTGTTTGTATGTAGGTCTTTGGTTATTCGGGTTTTCTCCCGTGTAAAATTGGAAGTGTCTTGGCGATGTTTCGATGAAGTCACATTCGTCATCTTCAGGCTGGTGTCTTCAGCTTCGTGCTTCTAGGAGTAATGTGTGATCGCAGCTGTTTCTTCCTTTTAACTGCCAGTGGGGTTTGAACTGATTGGGTGGGAGCTTGGCTGTGTTCTGATTGGGTGGAGGTGTGTTCTGATTGGTTAAGGGG